TACAGGGTTTATATACCAATCAAACAGACCACAAAGTACCAGAAAATAGAAAATAGCACTTGTACAAGATTTGGCCAAAAGTGGCTGTGAATGAGGGAGGTAGTGATTAATAGACAGGGAACATAAACAAATTTATTTACTTATTTATTTAAACACGTAAACATTCGTACGGGGTCGCACCAAACAGATATGCGTCGTTTAAATCATTCGATTTATGTAAAGGCAGGGATGATGCCCATGTACCCAAACAGAAACACGTAATTTTTTTAGGGGGGTCACATTCGAAGCCTTAAGTTTAAAAGTCTAATCCATAAGATAGTAGAGTAACATCAGGAGATGTAGTCCCATAGTAGCCAGTAACTAACGATAGGTTCTTACGCCATTTATTTCTTTAGGATTCTGGAACCCATGCGCACCATCGATTTGGAATCACAGTTTTCAGACTTCCCTAAATGGATCCTCCATATCCATCAACCCAGTTAAAGCGCTGATCATCATTTCTTCATCCTCTCAATTTCGTAAACATCACCCCTGCTGAGAAAAGTTAATGAGTAGCAATTTCCTGACAGTGGCTGTATACCCGTAGACATGTAGGAGCATTTTGAGAGGTCGTCCATTGACTTCAGAACGATCTCAAAAGTTAAATAACTAATATACATACATCCTATATACATTTGAAGGAGATCATAATAGAATAGAAGAGATAGTAATGCATAAAATGGTATATAAAAATGAAAATACAAATATGTAATACAAACTAATCATACCAGGAGAGACCATGCTGAGAAACAAGTATAATGTAAAATGACGTCTTTACCACAGAACTCTTTATCGATGGAATAGTTTCAAGAATGATATCAAAGTAGTTTATGCTTGTAATGAATATTGTAATGTATTTCTATATCTTTTACCATTTTCATATCTATTATGACAACAAGTACTTCTATTGTGAATAGGTTTGTAAACTGTTATGAATCAATATGATTACGCAATTATTCTGTTGCCTATTCTACTAACACAATGAGAAAAAAAAACAAAACATTGTTCCACTTCATTACTGCATATTTTTCGCATGATTCATGAACGATACAAAATCTAAGTATCTTAAATCTTCAATTAGAAAGGTTCTGACATATAACTATTACAAGATGGTTTTGTCGATATTATAGTCATTTTAATAGTTGAAATCATGAGTCAATTGAAGCTAAATCATCATGGAAAACCTAGAAGTATTCGATGGCTATTTCGTTCAATTGTGAGACTCCTTCTTGGCAACCAACACCAAAGTCAGAATTTTCAATACAAATGTCAAGACAATTCTACTGTATGCGGCCAAAACCTGGAAAACTACGAAATCCATCGTCGAAAAGATACAGGTGTTTATTAACAGATCCGCTGGCCGGAGACTATAAGCAACAACCTACTGTGGGAGAGAACAAATCAGATCCCAGTGGAGGAAGAAATCAGGAAGAAGCGCTGGAAGTGGATAGGACACACATTGAGGAAAGCACCGAACTGCGTCACAAGACAAGCCCTCACATGGAATCCTCAAGGTCGAAGGAGGAGAGGAAAACCAAAGAACACATCACTCCGGGAAACGGAGATAGACATGAGAAAAATGAACAAGAATTGGAAGGAACTAGAAAGGAGGCCCAGGACAGAGTGAATTGGAGAACGCTGGTCGGCGACCTATGCTCCATTAGGAGTGACAGGCGTAAGTAAATAAGTTCAATTTTTAGCCTTTACTATGCCTTCCTATGTCCTTATGCAATTTAACTACAATTTAGCCTCTGTATTTGCAATCACATACACACATTCGCCTCTCCACTTCAAATTCGCTCGATGGGCTTATATCTTCTTGATTTGTGCTATCCGCTAATAAATTGTAGTTTCTGCTTCTTATTGTCTTCTCTTTTCAAACATCGTTAGGATCTATATAATAACAAAGCTAAGCCACTACAATGGATAACTTCATTGGCAAAATTCTACCTTACTTACTTACTTATGTTTGTTACTCCTCGTGATGGAGCATAGGCCGCTCACTAACATCCTCCATCCAACCCTATCCTGGGCAATAAAATTCTATCATTTGTCTATTAAATTCTGTATGATTCTTCCAAGTTAACATTCCTTTTTCTATTTTCTTTAAAGGTTTTCTTCACGTCAATCTTCACAATATAAATGAATTATATTCCATTTCACTGATAATTCCATAAGTAGCTTAATTCAATACGAGGAATCCATGAAATCATCCTTTTAAGATTTAGTTTGAAAAGTAGAATATTTAGATTAAAAGTTAGAAACAGTGAATAGATTGAGAGGCATATACCTAAATTTAAAAAAAAAACCTATTGGAATTGATCAATAGATCAGTTGTTAAGAAAAAACCATTTATCACCGAGACCAAAGAACACATTGCGCCGAGAAATGGAGAGAGATATGAGTCATTCAGTCAGTCAGCTGCAATGGTCTTGAGTGCTGTTAGAGGTATGAAGGCGGTTATCACTTCCCGGTTGCTCACACCGTGAAAGAGTTCTTATGGAGGTACCTGATAAGGAAATTGGATTAGAGGTAGTAATAGTGACCTGAGAACGTGACCGCAGTGCCCAAGGGACAGCTGCTTGAGGTCGGTCACATACGACCTTTTTATGAGTAGTTTTTGTGTTAGCTCCGTACTTGTTGATACCTTATCGCCGGAGACGGATATCCGTGGGATAAGGCAAGGTGTGCATTTTTAGGGTCGACCTTCTCTAACCGCATTCCTCCTTGTGGGAAGACAGCATCGCTGTTATGCTGATTGTCTGGAGGAAACATCCTAATGCTGTCACACCTCTGTACAGTCAGCAGTACGACTTCGCCGTCGGACCTTGGATTTGTTGCTTTTAGTCTTACTGCTCTTCAACCGACCTGTCTGGCATGGTAGGACCTCGAGGAACGGTTGTTCCAGCCAGTATAGCTCGGTTGCTTCATTACGATTGGCAAGCCCGACAAACACGTCGAGGTAGCAACAACGGTTGGGGACAGATAAGAGAAAAATGAACAACAACTGGATAGAAGTAGAAAGGAAGACGCAGGACAGAGTGGGTTGGTGAATGCTGGTCGGTGGCCGATGCTCTATTGGGAGTAACAAGAGTAAGTAAGTAACTGAGAATAAAAGCAATATATAACTGAAAATCAGATGACAGACAGATTGTTGATGATCAGTTCGGACAAGTGTTGTGAACGAAAACACAGGTGGGGACAACCAATATAATTTGATGTATAATTACATAACGTTTGGTAAAATATAAAAACCATACATTGAATACTTCATTTGCTAATCTCCGTTATTTGTCCTTCACATCCTGTATGATTCTTCCTATTCGCAATTCCGTTTTATTTTCTTCAACTTGATCTTCATAGCCTTCTACTGTCATGCATTTTTCTTCTGAATGCTGTTACATACTACTTATGAGTGTTGACATAAGTAGCATATACTATCACTTACAATTGTAGGAATTCCCACATAGCAAAACAAACTACTCTTTCTCACAACTTACACGTCTAATCTAATTGAAATAAACTTTAAATGATAATCAACTTAAATACTTATTTGATTGACTACACGTTATAATCTTCACGTTAAGATTCTGGATTGTGTTTCCCCTCATATTCATATTCACTAATTAGAAATTTGAGAGGTTCAGTTAAAATACTTTGGCCATTGTTGTATTTTATAAGTTATTTACAAATAATTCAAATAGTATCAGAAGGGGATATGTGGAGATTTTAGTCATTTCAATAGTTCTAATCATGAGTCCACCATGAGACCACCATAAAAAACCTGGAAGCACTGAACATCGTTAAATGCCGGCTCAGTGATCTTATGGTTAAGTGCTCGCTCGCGAGAATGATAGGTTCTGAGTTCAAATCTCGGGGAGATCGTGGATGTGCACAGCTGAAGAGTCCAACACTTGAAAGAAACGGCCGTCCGGTGCCCTCCAGATTTTCCATGATGGTCTAGCTTCAACTGACTCATGAATTCAACTAGTGAAGTTCAAGTAGTGTTCATACTTCCTTATCTCTACTGTTTTGAACTTCTTTTTATAACATAACAGTCAAAGTATATTATAAAAAACCTAATATGATTAATTTTGCGACAAGACTATAAATTATGAACGAACCAATCACATACAAGATAGTAGGTCTTGAATTTTGGCGCGAAATTCATCCACCCATTTGGATAAATTGAGTTATGGCATTATAGCTTATGTCAGTCCATTATGACAACACTATATCTGATTCATAACCCTAACTATCAAATGTAAATCACAATTATGACTCCTCATACAAGTTTATAACCCTCATTTAGTTCTGGTTATTAAGTGTACACTCTCAAAGTTACTTAAGCGTCAATCAAAGGTCGTCCATAAATGATAATCTCATCAATTTTACTTGTCAAAATACATGGAAACCTGCAAATCCTAATGGAATTTCACTTTATCAATTAGAAACTAAATCTTGAAATAAATCACCAAAATAAAGTAGTGATTTTCATTAGTTACACAACAAAGACATATTACTCATATTAAATAAGTACACTGAGAGTGCCCGTCAAATCTAACAGATCCTAATACCTACACATATGGATATCTTTGAAGCTAAACTGTCGAAATGCTCTCACATGGTCACACGTATACAGCCTCTGCCAGGGAAGTCCTACTGACTGCTTTCTCGCAACACGGATGTTGTTTACGAAAATGAGAGGACAAAAAGCGAATGTCCGGTACCGGCATTAACCGGATACCAAATCATTGGTGCATATGGGCTGGCACCAGTATCCTGAAGGAACAAATGGTATATGAACCAATCGTTGGTCACCGGCTACCATCGAACTGTATCTCCTCACGATGCTCCACTACCTTGTGGATCAGACCTTCAGATCAAAGGCTCCAGGTGTGGCCCGCTAAGAAAACCACCTGCTTCGGTCTGAGCACCCGTGCAGTATCACAGCTCTAACACATATCAAATGAGATCTGTGTGGCACATATCTCTATTTGGTGCCTCCTTTTACCAATATCTATGTGTCAAATTAAAAATTAAAAATAGGGTTCAAACAAAATATATCACCATAGTTCACTTTATATCAAAAACGATTAGAAAAAAAAGAAAAAATGTGAATAAATTATAGCCATATTATTATTGTATTATCATACGATTTTATTGCTTGCTTCAAGTAATGATCTGAAAAACGTTTCATGACTATATAAAGAAGAAAAAAGATAAGTTCAGATAAGAACACATTCAATACTGAAAGAATCAAGAATAAACATAATGAAGATTAAGAAGTAGTCGAAGATAGATGATACGACTCTTTTTTTATCTGTGAAGTGATTTAGCTTTTGTTATTAACAATCATTTGAGGCAAATTCGACATATTTCATTTTATAAAAAAAAAGAAAAGAAAGAACATATGATTTACAACCAAAACGGACAATAGATATGAATAAATAATTAAAGAACAAACAATAATGACACAACAAAATCTGAAACTTTCTAGGATCAACATCAATGATAACAAATGAAAATGTATTGAAATACATTTTACTACTTACTTTAAATCAGTAGCATCATTATATTAGTTGAAAACAATAAGCATCAATATAAATTTTTGCTTAAACTTTTATAAAAGAAGATAATGAGAGATGAGAGAAAAATGAATGGAACTTTACAAGAAGCAATTCATAAATTAACATATAAATGTATAAAAAAAAAGTTTATCACAAAGCTTTTTTATTGTCTGTTTCTTTGTTTATTCCCCTAGACTCAGTGTAAATATATAACAGAAGGGAAGTCACATCCATCCATTCATTCACAATCAGTCCATCATCAATCATGGGAAGGGGGAATGACAAATACTTTTACATAATAAAATTTATATTATTATCATTACTATTATCACGAGAAGAACATCTATCCTCTTAAATGTTCAGTTGAGAATAAAGAAAAATAGCATTGAATTATGTGGTGGTGGTGGTGGTGGTAGTAGTAGTAGTAGCGATAGCGGTAGTAGTAGTAGTAGTGGTAATAATAATATTAATGTCAACCACATGGTAATTCTAACTTCCCAGATTCTAGAATCGATTCACCATCTAATATAAACGATAGTTGAAATTTCAATACAAATTTTTCCTATAGGAACAAATAAGAAAGAAAAAAGTAAAATAGAATCATTTATATACAAGACAAAATATCAATAACAGACAAGTGATAAGTTGAAATAGTTTTCTTATAGAAAACAATCCAAAAAATACCTGGAATCTATTTACTATTGATATTATTATTTTAATTGAAACACATAAATATTAGTAGAAAAAAGGGCAGTGAATATATATAAACCACACAAGTCACTTGATTTGTGTGTTGCATCAGGATTGGTTTGCGTCGACACCCCAACTAATGATAGGGAGTGGAGTACTTGAACGTGTCGACCGCTTCACTTATCTTGGAAGTCTCATCAGCTCTTGTGGTTTGGTGTGTGACGAAATCTCAGCACGGATACAAAAGGCTCGACTAGATTTTCCCATATTGCGTCATTCGTGGCGTGGGCGAGATATCCGTCTACCAACCAAAGGACGTGTTTACTGAGCGGCAGTTCATTCCGTCCTACTTTATGGCAGTGAAATATGACCAGTAAGAGTAGAGGATATTCGTAGGTTACTAATATTTGGCCATAGGTGTCTTCGAAACATCGCTCGTTTATCCTGGGTCCACCGAGTCAATCATTCAGTAACAACGTAGAACTTCGTACGTACGTACAACAGTTCAAGTTGCCATACCACATTACCACAGAGATTCAGTTATCGATTGAAATCCCGCAGTGGTAGAGGTTGTGAAAGTATAACCAGTTATAGGGAACATTACGGTTTGATGATGTTATTTAAGAAGTATAGTCCAGTGGAATAGATTTGGAAAGAAAATAAAGGACATGAAGAATACAGAAGATTAGAGTTTGAGAGAACACGAAGTGTGAATGCACCTGCGCCGTTTCAAACGATTTTGATCCATGTCATTCAAGGTCTCTAACCATCGGTTGCTATCATCTCGCGGTCCCCAACCAAGTAGTCTACACCTACCAACATGACTCAGTCCACTTGTCAGTGACTTCATGGATTTGTACCATGTTTTGGTCTGGCCGCCCCTAGCTTTCTTCCAACCTACTCCACTGGACTATACTCCTTAAATGACATCATTAAACCCTAATGTTCCCTATCACTAGTTATACTATCACTACCTCTACCACTACGGGATTTGAATCGATAACTGAATCTCGGTGCTAATGTGGTATGGCAACTCGAACTGATGTACGTACATACGAAGTTCTACGTTGTTACTGACTGACTGACTGAATATCAGGATCATAATGATCATCATTGTCATTAACTCTTATAATCAAAGCCTATTCATAGGTAGCCTTAGTATTAAACAATTCCATAAAAGATTAATAACATTCAACATGATATCAGAATCATCGATATATACATATGTAGATATATATATATATATATATCAGATTGTACTTTTTCCCAAAAACTCCACCTGGAACCCCTCCGGGGTTAATGCCAGGTCACAAGCCCGGGATAAAAGTGGATAGTTGGGTATAGGGTGTTAGTTATCCCACTCCGTAGAAAACTAACTTTTACTCAAAGAAATGCATCAATGATTAACTTACTAATTTAGATGGATTATAAATTAATAATACTTGACTAATTGATGCAGGTGGTAGAAATGTTGTATAAGATGGAAGATTTTGTCCAGATGCAATCAGTTGTCGTATTTTAAATGGCTATAAGAAAATAGAATCAAAACAGATTATATCATCTACATATTCAATTTAATATAGCATTCTATTTCAATTGACTTAATCAATTGGATATTGAGAATAATTGGTAGTGTAATGAACGAGAACACTAATGACAACAAATTTACAGAAGATTTTAGTACGGTATATACTTCATTTGCAAGATGTTAATCAATCATCTTAGATTTCATTGTTTCTTTGTTTCCATAGTAATCATTCCCTTGTTCTCGTTCTCTTTTCATAGATCTTGTTAACTTTCTGCCACTAAGCATTACACTTTCGATTGATGATATATATATATATATATATATATATATATATATATATATTACATATAGCACACATCACAGTGGTAGTGTCAGTCAGTCAGTCAGTGGTCTTGAGTGCTGTTAGAGGTATGAGGGTGGTTATCACTTCCCGGTTGCCCACACCGTGGAAGGGTTCTGCTGGAGGTACCTGAAAAGGAAATTGGATTAGAGGTGGTCATAGTGACCTGAGAGTGTGACCTCAGTGCCCAAGGGACAGCTGCTTGAGGTCGGTCACACACGACCTTTTTATGAGTAGTTTTAGTGTTAGCTCCGTACTTGTTGAGTCCTTATCGCCGGAGACGGATATCCGTGGGATAAGGCGAGGTGTGCATTTTTAGGGTCGACCTTTTCTAACCCCACTCCTCCTTGTGGGAAGGCAGCATCGCTGTCATGCTGGTTGTCTGAAGGAAACACCTTACTGCTGTCACACCTCTGTACAGTCAGCAGTACGACTTCGCCGTAGGACCTTGGTTTTGTTGCTTTTAGTCTTACCGCTCTTCAACCGACCTGTCTGGCATGGTAGGACCTTGAGGAACGGTTGTTCCAGCCAGTATAGCTTAGTTGCTTCATCACGATAGGCAAGCCCGACCACCACGTCAAGGTAGCAACAACGGTCAGGCAGTGGTAGTGTATTCACCCATAGTATATTTGTATACATATGTTAAGTTAAATTAGTTCATTCACCAGGTATTTAATTATGTATGAGCCACACACTCGAAGTATGAGAGTTAATGATACTACTTGATTGCTTAAACTCAAGTGAATGAGACAGGGTTCGAATCTGAAACTTAAAGGTTGAAAGTTGAATGTATTTTAAAATACTGTGTGTGTATGTTGATGAACGACGATCAATCGCATTACACATACATTTACTTGTTTTCTTATGAAATTTATACGAAAACAATACAGCTATTTTCGAAGGTTTAATAAATACTATAGTAGACTATGGTATTTCAAATCTGACAAGGATGTAAAACGTAAACATGTAAAATCATTGTAATATATGTTGATATCAAATTAACAGAATAGCCAATCAAAGAAAACAAGATAGAACTGTCTATTAAAATATAAATCATCATAGTCAGAAAACGAGAAAACAGTTGTTGTTTCGTTTGTGCAACACTAAATGTTACTAATAATTTTCCATCATTGAATCAGGTTATCATGCTGACACTATCAGTCAGTCAGTCAGTCAGTCAGTCAGTCAGTCAGTCAGTCAGTCAGTCAGTCAGTCAGTCAGTCAGTCAGTCAGTCAGTCAGTCAGTCAGTCAGTCAGTCAGTCAGTCAGTCAGTCAGTCAGTCAGTCAGTCAGTAACAACGTGGAACTTCGTACGTACGTACATCAGTTCGAGTTGCCATCAGCACCATCAGCACGATATGTTTATCATCTAGCATAACATCATTCGACAGTCAGTAATTTCATGAATTGATGTCACATTTTTGTTGTATTGTTTCTAGTATTCGTATTTACCTTACGTGAGATATCAACAGGTTTAAGTATATATTTATTTAAACACAAACATTAGTGCAAACATGCACAAAAATATAAATGCACCACAGAAATTATTGAATTTTTGTTTAGGATGGAATACTGTGCAGGCGCCCAAACAAAAACAGAAGATTTTTGTAGGGGACTATTCCCCAATTATTTGATCTAGAAATCTGATCCACAAGGCAGTGGAGCAATGTTAGAAGATGTAGTCTCATGGTAGTCACTGACCAACAATAGATTCAATATGCCATTAGTTCCCTGAGAGTCCTGGAGTCTATATGCACTATTGATTTAGAGTCGTGGTTTCCTAACTCGTCTAGGTAGATCCTCTGTGGCAATCAGCCCGGATTCAGTGTCGGATATTTGCTTTTCGTCCTCTGAATTTCGTAAACAAGGCCTCTGCCACGAGAAGGCATTGAGTAAGAATTCCCTGGCAGTAGCTATATACGCGAGGCCATGTGAGAGCATTTTGAGAGAAAGAGAGGAATCTCCTCACCCTTAGGCGTACCAGTGAATTGGGGATTCAACCATTATATGTATGAATTAAAGTGTATTCATAAAATGGTAATTTTCATTGATTTAGTTAGCAATCAACAATTTTTTTCATTCAATTTACAAAGTAACCTTTAAAAAAAAGTAAAAAGATGAACAGGAGATGAAGTCAAAGTGATGATATGTTAGGTTCTGAATTTCGATAGTGTTGAACTTCTTGAACTGGATAGCTCATAAATGTAGAGCTTTCATTGTTGTTTTGAGGGGTTATTATGGGTAGAAGTGAGTATGTTTGTTTGTTTGTTACAAAACAAGAGTGAATATTGTCCAGTCATTCAACCATCTGGTTCATATAATACAATATACCTAAAATTGTTTATATGAATTTTTGATTGAGATCATGAACCGATTGATGTCAGACCAACATTCGAAACCTGGAAGCACTGGACGGCCGCTTCGTCCTATTGTGGGACTATACTCAGCCCCCAAATGCCCTGGTACGGCCGAGAGTGGGGAGAGTCCGCTCTCACTCTCGAAATGCTCTCACATGGTCACGCGTAATACAGCCTCTGACAGGGAAGTCCTACTCACTGCCTTCACGTGGCGGGGGTGTTGTTTACGAAAATGAGAGGACGAAAAGCGAACGTCCGGTACCGGCTTTAACCGGATACCAAACCAATGGTGCACATGGGCCGTCTCCAGTATCCTGAAGGAACAAATGGCGTATGAACCAATTGTTGGTCACCAGCTACCATGGGATTGCATCTCCTCACGATGCTCCACTGCCTTGTGGGTCGGACGTTCAGGTCAAAGGCTCGGGGTGTGGCCCCCTAAGAAAACCAGCTGCTTCGGTTTGGGCACCAGGGCATTATCACAGCCCTCACACAAATCAATCGAGATTCGTGTGGCGCATATGTGTTTGGTGCCTCCTTGTACCAATACCTATGTGTTAAAATAAATAAATAATAACTCAGCAGTGCGCACCAACGACCCTGCCCGTGGGATTCGAACCCAGGGCCTTCAGTCTCAGCCGGCACTGCTAAGGAGTCCCACAATAGGACGAAACGGACGTCCGGTGCTTCCAGGTTTCCAATGGTGGTCTGACATCAATCGGTTCATCATCTCAATCAAAACTTAACAATCTCCACAACCCCTATACTGATTATATAAAGTTACAAATCTTCTTCATCAGATATCAATACTAACTACAGCACTAACAGTGAACATGAAATGTTAGATACAAATTACAAACACAAACACACACATACACTACACCCAGAGCCTTTGACATAAAGCTCTGATCCACAAGGCAATGTGNNNNGGTGTGGCCCGCTAAGAAAACCACCTGCTTCGGTCTGAGCACCCGTGCAGTATCACAGCTCTAACACATATCAAATGAGATCTGTGTGGCACATATCTCTATTTGGTGCCTCCTTTTACCAATATCTATGTGTCAAATTAAAAATTAAAAATAGGGTTCAAACAAAATATATCACCATAGTTCACTTTATATCAAAAACGATTAAAAAAAAAGAACAAATGTGAATAAATTATAGCCATATTATTATTGTATTATCATACGATTTTATTGCTTGCTTCAAGTAATGATCTGAAAAACGTTTCATGACTATATAAAGAAGAAAAAAGATAAGTTCAGATAAGAACACATTCAATACTGAAAGAATCAAGAATAAACATAATGAAGATTAAGAAGTAGTCGAAGATAGATGATACGACTCTTTTTTTATCTGTGAAGTGATTTAGCTTTTGTTATTAACAATCATTTGAGGCAAATTCGACATATTTCATTTTATAAAAAAAAAGAAAAGAAAGAACATATGATTTACAACCAAAACGGACAATAGATATGAATAAATAATTAAAGAACAAACAATAATGACACAACAAAATCTGAAACTTTCTAGGATCAACATCAATGATAACAAATGAAAATTTATTGAAATACATTTTACTACTTACTTTAAATCAGTAGCATCATTATATTAATTGAAAACAATAAGCATCAATATAAATTTTTGCTTAAACTTTTATAAAAGAAGATAATGAGAGATGAGAGAAAAATGAATGGAACTTTACAAGAAGCAATTCATAAATTAACATATAAATGTATAAAAAAAAAGTTTATCACAAAGCTTTTTTATTGTCTGTTTCTTTGTTTATTCCCCTAGACTCAGTGTAAATATATAACAGAAGGGAAGTCACATCCATCCATCCATCCATTCACAATCAGTCCATCATCAATCATGGGAAGGGGGAATGACAAATACTTTTACATAATAAAATTTATATTATTATCATTACTATTATCACGAGAAGAACATCTATCCTCTTAAATGTTCAGTTGAGAATAAAGGAAAATAGCATTGAATTATGTGGTGGTGGTGGTGGTGGTAGTAGCGATAGCGGTAGTAGTAGTAGTAGTAGTAGTAGTAGTAGTAGTAGTGGTAATAATAATAATAATGTCAACCACATGGTAATTCTAACTTCCCAGATTCTAGAATCGATTCACCATCTAATATAAACGACAGTTGAAATTTCAATACAAATTTTTCCTATAGGAACAAATAAGAAAGAAAAAAGTAAAATAGAATCATTTATATACAAGACAAAATATCAATAACAGACAAGTGATAAGTTGAAATAGTTTTCTTATAGAAAACAATCCAAAAAATATCTAGAATCTATTTATTATTATTATTATTATTATTTTAATTGAAACACATGAATATTAGTAGAAAAAAGGGCACTGAATATATATAAACCACACAAGTCACTTGATTTGTGTGTTGCATCAGGATTGGTTTGCGTCGACACCCCAACTAATGATAGGGAGTGGAGTACTTGAACGTGTCGAGCGCTTCACTTATCTTGGAAGTCTCATCAGCTCTTGTGGTCTGGTGTGTGACGAAATCTCAGCACGGATACAGAAGGCTCGACTAGATTTTCCCATATTGCGTCATTCGTGGCGTGGGCGAGATATCCGTCTACCAACCAAAGGACGTGTTTACTGAGCGGCAGTTCATTCCGTCCTACTTTATGGCAGTGAAATATGACCAGTAAGAGTAGAGGATATTCGTAGGTTACTAATATTTGACCATAGGTGTCTTCGAAACATCGCTCGTTTATCCTGTGACCACCGAGTCAGTCAGTCAGTAACAACGTGGAACTTCGTATGTACGTACATCAGTTCGACTTGCCATACCACATTAGCACAGAGATTCAGTTATCGATTCAAATCCCCTAGTGGTAAAGGTAGTGAAAGTATAACTAGTTATAGGGAACATTAGGGTTTGATGATGTCATTTAAGGAGTATAATCCAGTGGAATAAATCGGGAAAGAAAATAAAGGACATGAAGAATTCAGAAGATTAGAGTTTGAGAGAACACAAATTGTGGATGCACCTGCGCCATTGCAAACGATTTTGAGCCATGTCATTCAAGGTCTCTAACCATCGGTTGCTATCGTCTCGCGGTCCCCAACCAGGTAGTCTACACCTACCAACATGACTCAGTCCACTTGTCAGTGACTTCATGGATTTGTGCCATGTTTTGGTCTGGCCGCCCCTAGCTTTCTTCCAACCTACTCCTACACCATAAAACATAGCACGTCGGGGCAGTCGGTGGTCGGGCATGCGCCACACATGTCCCAGCCATCTCAACTGATTAAGTTTCACTACTTCCTCAATTGATTTGCCATCCTTACCTAGTACCCGTTTCATAACAACTGCATTACTTACTCGGTGGTCCCAGGATATACGAGCGATGTTTCGAAGACACCTATGGTCAAATACTAGTAACCTACGAATATCCTCTACTCTTACCGGCCATGTTTCACTGCCATAAAGTAGGATGGAACGAACTGCTGCGCAGTAAACACGTCCTTTGGTTGATAGACGGATATCTCGCCTACGCCACAAATGACGCAAGTTGGCAAAAGCTAGTCGAGCCTTTTGTATCCGTGCTGAGATTTTGTCACACACCAAACCACAAGGGCTGATGAGACTTCCGAGATAAGTGAAGCGGTCGACACGTTCAACTACTTCACTCCCTATCACTAGTTCGGGTGTCGACGCAACCCAATCCCTGAAGCAACATTTTGCATTTCGAGGGAGAAAATCGCATGCCCAACATGCTTGCATTGTTGCTTAGAGTGGTCAGCAGACTCTGCATTCTGTCAGCGCCTTCACTAAATAGAACTATGTCATCGGCATATTCTAAGTCAACAAGTGGATCTCCCGGTAGAAGTTCAACTCCTGGAGATTTAGATGGGGAAAGTGTCATCTCTAAAAGGACGTCAACGACAAAGTTAAACAAGAATGGAGAGAGTGGACAGCCCTGACGAACACCACTTGAGGTAATCAATTCTGATGACAGTTCACCATAAGCTCTCACTCGACCAGTTGTGTTCGAGTAGAGAGCCTTTATAAGGTTGATGTACTTCTTTGGTACTCCCTTCAGTGACAAACACTGCCAAGAAACCTCACGATCAACAGAGTCAAATGCCGCCTTAAGGTCGAGAAATACTACCATTGTGGGGCGTCTGAATGTGTGTCTATGTTCTAGGACCTGACGTAATGTGAATATTTGATCAATACAACCACGTCCAGGTCGAAAACCAGCCTGGTTTTCTCTAGTCTGCTCTTCACGAGCTTTGGTTAGACGTCGAAGTATTATTGAAGCTAATATTCTAGACACTATATTAGTCAAACTAATTCCTCTGTGATTGTCACAGGAGGACTTTTGTCCTTTCTTATAGACTGGTACAATCAGTGATTGAGACCAGTCAGATGGGATTACGTCCAGTTCCCAGATTCTACCTAAGACCTCAGTCAATCTCGCTGCTAATACTGCACCGCCATCCTTAAAAATCTCAGGGGTAAACCTGTCAGGGCCTGCTGCTCTCCCACGCTTCAGATTTCCTATAGCTTACTCAACTTCGTAAAGAGTCGGAGGACATACATCAACTTGCTATTCAGGTCGACTGGAGATCGTGGGAAACCGAAGTGTGACTGAAGGCCAGTTGAACTGATCCCTAAATATTCTGCCCATCGATCCAATCTCCTGGATTGAGAATGAATAATATGTCCAACTTTTTCTGAAATAGTTTCGCTAACAGTTGAGTTCCTAATACCGGTTTCCTTAACAAGTGTGAACAGTTGCCTGCTGTTACCTATTGCCGCTACCACTGCCTTTTCCATATCTCTTGCTTTCGTTACCCACCGAGTAAGTAATGCAGTTGTTATGAAACGGGTACTAGGTAAGGATGGCAAATCAATTGAGGAAGTAGTGAAACTTAATCAGTTGAGATGGCTGGGACATGTGTGGCGCATGCCCGACCACCGACTACCCCGACGTGTGATGTTTTATGGTATAGGAGTAGGTTGGAAGAAAGATAGGGGCGGCCAGACCAAGACACGGTACAAATCCATGAAGTCACTGACAAGTGGACTGAGTCATGTTGGTAGGTGTAGACTACTTGGTTGGGGACCGCGAGATGATAGCAACCGATGGTTAGAGACCTTGAATGGCATGGATCAAAATCGTTTGAAACGGCGCAGGTGCATTCACACTTCGTGTTCTCTCAAACTCTAATCTTCTGTATTCTTCATGTCCTTTATTTTCTTTCCAAATCTATTCCACTGGACTATACTTCTTAAATAACATCATCAAACCGTAATGTTCCCTATAACTGGTTATACTTTCACAACCTCTACCACTGCGGGATTTCAATCGATAACTGAATCTCTGTGGTAATGTGGTATGGCAACTTGAACTGTTGTACGTACGTACGAAGTTCTACGTTGTTACTGACTGACTGACTGAATATCAGGATTATAATGATCATCATTGTCATTAACTCTTATAATCAAAGCCTATTCATAGGTAGCCTTAGTATTAAACAATTCCATAAAAGGTTAATAACATTCAACATGATATCAGAATCATCGATATATACATATGTAGAGAGAGAGAGATATATATATATCAAATTGTACTTTTTCCCAAAAACTCCACCTGGAACCCCTCCGGGGTTAATGCCAGGTCACAAGCCCGGGATAAAAGTGGATAGTTGGGTATAGGGTGTTAGTTATCCCACTCCGTAGAAAACTAACTTTTACTCAAAGAAATGCATCAATGATTAACTTACTAATTTAGATGGATTATAAATTAATAATACTTGACTAATTGATGCAGGTGGTAGAAATGTTGTATAAGATGGAAGATTTTGTCCAGATGCAATCAGTTGTCGTATTTTAAATGGCTATAAGAAAATAGAATCAAAACAGATTATATCATCTACATATTCAATTTAATATAGCATTCTATTTCAATTGACTTAATCAATTGGATATTGAGAATAATTGGTAGTGTAATGAACGAGAACACTAATGACAACAAATTTACAGAAGATTTTAGTACAGTATATACTTCATTTGCAAGATGTTAATCAATCATCTTAGATTTCATTGTTTCTTTGTTTCCATAGTAATCATTCCCTGTTCTCGTTCTCTTTTCATAGATCTTGTTAACTTTCTGCCACTAAGCATTTCACTTTCGATTGATGATATATATATATATATTACATATAGCACACATCACAGTGGTAGTGTCAGTCAGTCAGTGGTCTTGAGTGTTGTTAGAGGTATGAGGGTGGTTATCACTTCCCGGTTGCCCACACCGTGGAAGGGTTCTTATGGAGGTACCTGAAAAGGAAATTGGATTAGAGTTGGTCATAGTGACCTGAGAGCGTGACCTCAGTGCCCAAGGGACAGCTGCTTGAGGTCGGTCACACACGACCTTTTTATGAGTAGTTTTAGTGTTAGCTCCGTACTTGTTGATACCTTATCGCCGGAGACGGATATCCGTGGGATAAGGCGAGGGGTGCATTTTTAGGGTCGACCTTTTCTAACCCCACCCCTCCTTGTGGGAAGGCAGCAACGCTGTCATGCTGATTGTCTGGAGGAAACACCTTACTGCTGTCACACCTCTGTACAGTCAGCAGTACGACTTCGCCGTCGGACCTTGGATTTGTTGCTTTTAGTCTTACTGCTCTTCAACCGACCTGTCTGGCATGATAGGACCTTGAGGAACGGTTGTTCCAGCCAGTATAGCTCAGTTGCTTCATCACGATAGGCAAGCCCGACCACCACGTCAAGGTAGCAACAACGGTCAGGCAGTGGTAGTGTATTCACCCATAGTATATTTGTACACATATGTTAAGTTAAATTAGTTCATTCACCAGGTATTTAATTATGTATGAGCCACACACTCGAAGTATGAGAGTTAATGATACTACTTGATTGCTTAAACTCAAGTGAATGAGACAGGGTTCGAATCTGAAACTTAAAGGTTGAAAGTCGAATGTATTTTAAAATACTGTGTGTGTATGTGTGTGTGTGTGTTGATGAACGACGATCAATCGCATTACACATACATTTACTTGTTTTTTTATGAAATTTATACGAAAACAATTCAGCTATTTTCGAAGGTTTAATAAATACTATAGTAGACTATGGTATTTCAAATCTGACAAGGATGTAAAACGTAAACATGTAAAATCATTGTAATATATGTTGATATCAAATTAACAGAATAGCTAATCAAAGAAAACAAGATAGAACTGTCTATTAAAATATAAATCATCATAGTCAGAAAACGAGAAAATAGTTATTGTTTCGTTTGTGCAACACTAAATGTTACTAATAATTTTCCATCATTGAATCAGGTTATCATGCTGACACTATCAGTCAGTCAGTCAGTCAGTCAGTCAGTCAGTCAGTCAGTCAGTCAGTCAGTCAGTCAGTCAGTCAGTAACAACGTGGAACTTCGTACGTACGTACATCAGTTCGAGTTGCCATCAGCACCATCAGCACGATATGTTTATCATCTAGCATAACATCATTCGACAGTCAGTAATTTCATGAATTGATGTCACATTTTTGTTGTATTGTTTCTAGTATTCGTATTTACCTTACGTGAGATATCAACAGGTTTAAGTATATATTTATTTAAACACAAACATTAGTGCAAACATACACAAAAATATAAATGCACCACAGAAATTATTGAATTTTTGTTTAGGATGGAATACTGTGCAGGCGCCCAAACAGAAACAGGAGATTTTTGTAGGGGACTATTCCCCAATTATTTGACCTAGAAATCTGATCCACAAGGCAGTGGAGCAATGTTAGAAGATGTAGTCTCATGGTAGCCATTGACCAACAATAGATTCAATATGCCATTAGTTCCCTGAGAGTCCTGGAGTCTATATGCACTATTGATTTAGAGTCGTGGTTTCCTAACTCGTCTAGGTAGATCCTCTGTGGCAATCAGCCCGGATTCAGTGTCGGATATTTGCTTTTCGTCCTCTGAATTTCGTAAACAACGCCTCTGCCGCGAGAAGGCATTGAGTAAGAATTCCCTGGCAGTAGCTATATACGCGAGGCCATGTGAGAGCATTTTGAGAGAAAGAGAGGAATCTCCTCACCCTTAGGCGTACCAGTGAATTGGGGGTTCAACCATTATATGTATGAATTAAAGTGTATTCATAAAATGGTAATTTTCATTTATTTAGTTAGCAGTCAACAATTTCTTTTTCATTCAATTTACAAAGTAACCTTTAAAAAAAAAGTAAAAAGATGAACAGGAGATGAAGTCAAAGTGATGATATGTTAGGTTCTGAATTTCGATAGTGTTGAACTTCTTGAACTGGATAGCTCATAAATGTAGAGCTTTCATTGTTATTTTGATGGGTTATTATGGGTAGAAGTGAGTATGTTTGTTTGTTTGTTACAAAACAAGAGTGAATATTGTCCAGTCATTCAACCATCTGGTTCATATAATACAATATACCTAAAATTGTTTATATGAAGTTTTGATTGAGATCATGAACCGATTGATGTCAGACCAACATTCGAAACTTGGAAGCACTGGACGGCCGCTTCGTCCTATTGTGGGACTATACTCAGCCCCCAAATGCCCTGGTACGGCCGAGAGTGAGAAGAGTCCGCTCTCCCTCTCCAGATGCTCTCACATGGCCACGCGTATATAGCCTCTGCCAGGGAAGTCCTACTCACTGCCTTCACGTGGCGGGGATGTTGTTTACGAAAATGAGAGGATGAAAAGCGAATGTCCGGTACCGGCTTTAACCGGATACCAAATCAATGGTGCACATGGGCTCCAGTATCCTGAAGGAACAAATGGCGTATGAACCAATTGTTGGTCACCAGCTACCATGGGACTGCATCTCCTCACGATGCTCCACTGCCTTGTGGGTCAGACGTCCAGGTCGAAGGCTCAGGGTGTGGCCCCCTAAGAAAACCACCTGCTTCGGTTTGGGCACCCGGGCAGTATCACAGTCCCCACACAAATCAATTGAGATTCGTGTGGCGCATATGTGTTTGGTGCCTCCTTGTACAAGTACCTATGTGTTAAAATAAATAAATAATAACTCAGCAGTGCGCACCAACGACCCTGCCCGTGGGATTCGAACTCAGGGCCTTCAATCTCAGCCGGCACTGCTAAGGAGTCCCACAATAGGACGAAACGGCCGTCCGGTGCTTCCAGGTTTCCAATGGTGGTCTGACATCAATCGGTTCATCATCTCAATCAAAACTTAACAATCTCCACAACCCCTATACTGATTATATAAAGTTACAAATCTTCTTCATCAGATATCAATACTAACTACAGCACTAACAGTGAACATGAAATGTTACATACAAATTACAAACACAAACACACACACACACACTACACCCAGAGCCTTTGACATAAAGCTCTGATCCACAAGGCAATGGAACAACGTAAAGAGATGCAGTCTCATGGTAGTCAGTGATCAACGATTGGTTCATACACCATTTGTTCCTTCAGAATACTGGAGTCCATGTGCACCAATGGTTTGGAATCAGGGTTTTTAAACTCGCATAAGTAAATCCTCCATATTCACCAATCTGGTTAAAGCGTTGGACAATAATATAAATAAAAATAGTAATGTATATGAATAATCTCACCTTTTCAACACCAAATCTAACATTGATTTCAGTAATAGGTAAAACATTTCGACTAGATATAACAGCAACAAAAACCATCACTTCAGGATGTGGTTTATTATTAGCATAATGTAATGTTAATTGTATGTTATAAGTATTATCATTCTCTTGTGATATATCAGTTGGATAAAGTGTCAATGGTGTTTTATATATTGAATGAGGTTGAACAGAAGAAAGTTGAATATCAAATGATTTAAGATCAATTACACTTTGTGTTATAACTTCTGATGATGTTACTTCTTCCATCTTGTGATTATTACTAGTGGGAGTGTTATTCATACTGACAACTACATCATTCATACATAGGGATATGTTATTATCATTAGCATCATCGGGTTTTATTTTACTTGGAGAATTATTTGCTAGTAATATTGATAGATTTGTATCTGTCAACGCATTTGTTCTATGTAAATATGAAAGAAAAGTAAATAGAATATTAAAACTACGTACAAAGAAAAGGCATCATACAAATATATTTTTTTCCGAAATGATTTTTGATTTCATTACTTACCCCCCTGTTACTCCTTGTGGAGGAGCATAGGCTGCCCACCAGCACTCTCCATCCAACCCTGTCCTGAGCAACCCTTTCCAGTTCTTCCCAGCTGTTATTCGTCCTTTTCATATCTGCTTCTATTTCCCGATGTAATGTGTTCTTTGGCCTTCCAATTTTCCGCTTCCCTTGAGGATTCCAAATTAGGGCTTGCCTCGTGATGCAGTTTGGTGATTTCCGTAATATATGTCCTATCTATTTCCATCGTCTTTTCCTAATTTCCTCTTCAGCTGGAAGCTGGTTTGTTTTCTCCCACAGAAAGTTGTTGCTGATGGTATCCGGCCAATGGATGTTGAGTATCTTGAGTAGACAACTATTTAGAAATACTTGTACCTTCTTGATGATGGTATAGTAGAACTGTCTTGACGTTCGTATTGAAGACATTTGTAATTTGGAAACAGTTAATTATCACCAACGGATATTAGTTACAGAAACATTGCAAACCACGGAATACTTATTACCAATTTCATAAGATGATCTTTGAGCTACATATCATCAACTGAACGGATATATATATATATATATATATATATATATATATATATATATATATATATATATATGGATTGACTCAGTGATCTTGATGTACCATGCACACAGTGAAGTCTGAAAGTTATCGATTCGATACTGCGTAGAATAGTGGTAGCACAGTTTATGCAAACAGTATTTGAAAGACATCAGTATACGAATACCAACAATTTACTCAGTCATCTTACTCTTAACTATCTTAAAATAGTACAAATTAAACTATTCTTCAGTTTATTCTCACATTTATTAGTAGATCGACATTTAACCTGAATCATATGTGGATTAATTTGTTAAAAGTAGAACAAGGTTTTTATATCCATACTGACAGAATTGACCTATCCCCCCCCCAAAGAATTAGAGCGGATGAGACTACAAACGTAATTGAAAAAGGTCAGTGCAAAAAGAGTTGTATTACCACATATCATACAAAGACTTGAATAGTTGATTAGTTGAAGTTAGACATTAACATCATTGGATGCCGGCTTAGTGATCTAGTAGTTAAGTGCTCGCGCACGAAACCAGGTGGTGCGAGGTCGTGGATGCGCACTGCTGAGGAGTCCCACAACAGGAAGGAACGGCGGTCCAGTGCTTCCAGGTTTTCCATAGTGGTCTAGCTTCAACTGAATCATGATCTTAACCATTGAAATTACTTGAATAAATGTAAGGTGACAATATTTATTCATCAATCGATAGGTCGGAAAATTTTCAACCGGGTTTTTTTATCGCTTTGTAGTACATTATCATTCATTCATAAATGAATGGTCATTATCCAGGAAATAATAAAAAAGGATTTTTACAAAAAGATAAAAACTCTATGAGTAACACTTACTTTGATAAGTTAAGCATTTGACGACTCAAACTATCTAGTTCGCTGAAGACGTTGGAATTGGAATTTACAGAAGATCCATGTTCAGGAGACAAGGTTTGTTTTGAAGTTTTAGAATCTACAGAACTGAATATTGATGGGTAAAGAGTTGACGAAGTAGGGAGTACTGGGAGATGAGAGAAAAGTAAACATAACAAATTCTTATTTGTGTTAGTAGTAGTATAGTTCATTAAAATAATAATTAGCAAATGAAGCTATGAAGTCATTCCATTTCAATATGATTAACATAGAAAAGTGATATTCACTAGAAGCCAGTAAGAATTATGTATCTAACTCATCCTATTCTAAGACTCTTAAGCACAAATCTTGCAACTCAATTTCCAACATCCCGGAAAATGTTACCAGTGAATAGAATAACCAAAAATGATACGGTACAAAAATATCATATATTATGGTTACTGACAATGGAGCACAACTTCATTTACAACAGGTTTAAAAAAATCTACGAAGAAAACAACATCAGTAATATCAGGTCCCATGTAATCCCCCATATGTATAGCTAGCTGTTATAACTGAAGTAGAAACTGATGTGATCCAACTAAGGGAAGAGAGAAAAGAGGATAGATGATAAATTATGATACACTAAAAACAAATCAATAATATCATAGTTCTATAGAAACTTTGTCGCTCCCTACAGCACCTCAATGGTAATATCTCAAACTGTATCTTGGAGATATAGGTTCGAATTCCAAGCAGAGAGTTAGTCTCCTTAATATTCCAGGTAAGTCTATTTAATGAGTGCTAACTAGCATGAAACCTAGTCAGTAACAATGTGGAACTTCGTACGTACGTACATCAGTTCGAGTTGCCATACCACATTAACACAGAATAACTTACTGGATGAAAACAATTTATAACTTTCATAAGATCGAAAATGTACAACTAACATGAGTAACTGGATGCTGCAATTATATTGTTGTCTTTAATAATAATAATAACAGCTGTTGGTACATAGTATAGTACCATTCAATTGAAATAGTCTCGCAGTAAATTATTAACCCTTATATATTTAAATACATAAACATTGGTACAAGGAGGAACGAGATAGATATGAGCCATATAAATCATTCGACTTAATGTGAGGGCTGGTTTTCTTAGGGGGCCACACTCGGAGCTTTCAACCTATTGGTTTGATTCACAAGACAGTGGAGCGACGTCAAGAGATGCAGTCCCATTGTAGCCGGTGACCAATGATTGGCTCGTATACCATTTATCCCTTCCGAATACTGAAGCCCATGTACACCATTGGTTTAGAGTCAAGGATTTCTAACTTCCAAAGGTGGATCCTTCGTACCAACCACCAACCCAGTTAAAGCATCGGACATTCGTTTTTCGTCCTCTCAATTTTGTAAACACCCCTGCCACGAGAAGGCAATGAGTAGGACTTCCCTGCATGTGACCATGTGAGAGCATTTCAAGAGGGAGGGCTGACTTTCCCAAACTCTCAGCCGTACCAGGGCATTTGGAGGCAATAACTGTACACCTAAGTTTAGCGCCCGCCCAACCAGGCTATCTACACAGCACCCCATACAGCCCCAGCGCCACGTGCAATACTTCTCCGCAGTTATGAGATGGAGACTGGGTGGGAAACGCACACTTGGCGGAGAATGGATTTGAATCAATGATTTCATAGACAAACAAGTATTCTTAATTACCTATCCATTCAATAGAAATTAATTGGTCGTATACAATACAACATAAAACTTGGTGAATATGTGAATCGATTTATTTATTTATTTATTTATTTATTTATTTATTTATTTATTTATGGCTTTATTCAATATTACGGATTTTGGTACAATATAGAATTCTCAGCACAAAAATATTTCAACAAGTTTCTTTTACAGAACAAAAGAAAAAAAACGGTTTAAAAAAAAAATCTGAAAAATAAACACTGTACAACTTTTCAATTAGAGTCATGTTAAGAATGCAGATTATTGACTAGGTTAACTTTAACAACCTGTTCGTCAAAGAGTACATTTGCTAGGTAAGGTACTATAGAACGTTTATACTTTTGCTTGCGTGCTTGGATTTTAATGTAATTTCGTCTCGTTCTACCAGAAGATATACAAGGAGAAAGATATGAGTGAACGGGATGGTTAGTATCTGATAAAATAACATCTGCCAGGAGTTTGCATGACTTTAGATGTCTATCCACAATCATATTAATTATGGTCTCGAAAGATTCACCACATAACTTGCTAACTGCCTTCAGCGCTCTCCGCAGTACAGCAAAGTCTTTTCTCAAAAGCCCGGGAAAGAATAACGGAGAACAGTACAGAATAATAGGTAATATGCAAGAATTGACAAATTGTAGGAGTAAATGACGAGTGATCCCAAAGGCATGCAACCTCTTAATGTAGTAAGTCAGACGGAAAACTTTCCTCGATAACAATAAAACGTAAGAAGACCAAGAGAGATCAGAGGAAAAGGTAACACCAAGATAATTGACCGTCGACACTGTGTTTATCAAAGAGTCGCCAATGGCACAAGCATTATGAGATCTCAAAAAGGTGTTTAAATGCCGATCATGTCCCATGCTAAAGTTAACAGCTTGACATTTAGACGGATTAAGTAGGAGACCATTAACGACAGACCAGCTATCAATGCGAGATAAAAACTCGTTCATTTCTATAGGATGTAAAGAGGAAGAGATAGGCATACAAACAGTGAGATCGTCTGCATATTTCACGAAAGTGTTTACTGTGGAAGATGGCAGATCATGCAGAAAAAAAAGAGAAAAGAAGAGGTGAGAGAACAGCTCCTTGTGGTACACCTTCATAAGACACTAGAGACTCTGAACACTTTCCTCCAAACACCGTGTACTGTTCCCTTCCAGAGAGGTAGGAACATTTTATTTATTTATTATTTATTTTAACACATAAGTATAGGTACAGGGAGGCACCAAATACATATGCGCCACACAAATCTCAATTGATTTGTGTGAGGGCTGTGATACTGCCCGGGTGCCCAAACCGAAGCAGGTGGTTTTCTTAGGGGGCCACACCCCGAGCCTTTGACCTGAAGATCTGATCCACAAGGCAGTGGAGCATCGTGAGGAGATGCAGTCCCATGGTAGCCGGTGACCAACGATTGGTTCATACGCCATTTGTTCCCGCAGGATACTGGAGCCCATGTGCACCATTGGTTTGGGGTCCGGTTAAAGCCGGTACCGGACGTTCGCTTTTCGTCCTCTCATTTTTGTAAACAACACCCCCGCCACGAGAAGGCAGTGAATAGGACTTCCCTGGCAGAGGCTATATACGCATGGCCATGTGAGAGCATTTCGAGAGGGAGAGCGGACTTTCCCCACTCTCGGCCGTACCAGGGCATTTGGGGGCAGGTAGGAACATAGCCAGTTGGTTATCCAGCTGTCAGTGTTGACGCTGATTAACTTGTTAAGTAAACGTTGCCTTGATATAGAATCAAAAGCAGAAGTATAGTCCAGGAAAGCGCATCGAACATACTTCTTACCCTTTTCTAGGTTGAACACTATATTATGATGCAGAACAGCAACAGCATCGAGGGTGCTTCTTTTGCATCTGTAAGCAAACTGATACTGGTCAATGTGCTCTTTCATCGCAGGCTGAAGTGAAAGTGTCAATAATTTTTCCATTGCTTTGAGGAAGGGTGAAGTTATTGCAATGGGTCTGAATTTCACATTCTTATCACTAGATGATTTCTTGGGTATAGGGATTATTTTCATCTTTCTCCACATTTTCGGTATGAGATTCGAAGAGAAGGATCTATTAAAGATAGTGGTGAATGGATAGCATAGGACGTCAGCACACTTTTTGAAAAGGAGGTTTGGGATACCATCAGGTCCCAAACATCGGGATGAATTTAGTGACTGGAGACATTTTTGGACATCAGTTTCGGTGAAACTAGGAGCACAGCTATTTTTTAAACCCGTGAATAAAGGGAGTATCACAAATCAGATGATTGACGTAAAAAAGACTTATTTAAGTCACAAACATCCAGCTGGTTATCGGTCCTAATCTGTCTGTCACCTGTAAGTTCTTTAAAGAGTTTCCACATACTTGAAGAGTTTTTACAAGACAAGAGTTTTTGAGCAAACATAGTGTTGAGACGACGAATTTTGAGGTTTATCAGACCATTTAGCTTACGAACTTCACTAGAGTTTTTCTTTTTGTACATTATTTCTTTCACCCTCCGTAGTCGTTTTAGTTGTGAAGATGTAAGTCGATCAAAACTTACAAAAATAGTTTCAGTGGGACAACAAATATCAAAACAGAATTTAAGGTAGCAAGTGATAACATCAGTAGTGATTTCCAGTGAGTCATCTGTAAATAATTTACAGTTGGTCGTATGAAACATGTCTTTCAGGTTTCGGATATTTACTTCTGAGTAATTCCTATATTTGACTTTCTTGCTTTGATTTAAGAGCGCACTCTTTCCATGCTTTCCATATACTTTAGGTAGAACACGAATTATACAGTGATCCGAGCTAGACAATGGAGCACGTTTACGAGTCACATATATACCTACATCATTAATGAAAACGAAGTCTAAATGAGCATCCAACCGAGTAGGAAAATCTACTACATTTTGGTGACCTAGCGATGTAAGGAAGCTACAGTCACATGAATTAAAATCACCACATACAACTGAAAGTGAATCACTGAAGGCAGTAACACCGAACTCAGTGAATTCATCAGCGAAGACAGATAGCGCAGATGATGTGCAGTCTGGGGTCACATAGATATTGGTAACATAAACATATTTATATTTATTTAGATGTTTTGGACGGCATCTTAGAGTTAGACAGTCGATAAAGTCATTTGAAAACTTGAAACACGCAAACGTAGATCGACACCAGTTCACGTTTACAAAAGTAGCTACACCGCCGCCACACCTCTTTTTATCGTTTGATCGATCCTGACGATAAATTTTGAAATCATGTAGGGATACTAGGCAGTCGTCCTGTAAATCGTTTAACCAAGATTCTTGAATTGTGATGACACTACAATTACGATACATATTTTGACTTAGTAGGGATTGAAGATAGTCTATCTTGTTAATTAATGATCGGCAGTTAGAATTTAGCAATTCGGGAATCGACATACAATTAATGTTCATTCTCTTCAACGCATTTTGCCAACCACCACGATGTTTTTTATTGTAGGTTTTTGTAACTTGTGCAGCGAAAGGTCTTAGGATTTTCATTAACACGCCTGTATAGGTTATGCGATTAATGGACATAATGAGAGGTTATAACAAAATGAAAAAACAGATAAATTGTTGAAATAACTAGATGGCAGGAACAGGTAGCCCAGATATTCAAGCAGGCCGCCAGTTCATTTGAAAGACATGAAATTACCAAGACAAATAACAGAATAATAAAAGTAATAAAAGTATTCCGTGATAGTAATAGAATAGATTACGTATAGACAACATAATTTGACAAAATATGAATTAGTGAGATCAATAGTATAAGACAGTTTTGATACTCAGGATCTAAGGGAACAGAAAATTAAATGCATCTGCAAAATTATGACAGATTCTAATCAATCTCACATAAAATCTCCAAACAACTGTATGTACCCCAACATGGTAGTCACTACCCGCATATATGGCTCAGTTCATCAACAGAATTTATAAACTGATGCTTTAATTTGGTCCCCACTAACTGTCTTCTAACCTACTCTGACATCATTAAATATAACGCATCAAGGTGGTTGAACATAACATAAATAACACATACCTCAGCCACTTCAATGAATAAAACTTCACTACCTGATGAATTGATTCAACATAAAAGGATATTAAAAAGGGTAAAAATATGAAAAAAAAACTTACTTGTTGACCCAGAAGTAGTCGTCATCGTCGTCGTAGTCGTAGTATTAGCAGTAGTAGAAGTATTAGTAGTATTTATAGAAAAAATATCTTGTAAATCATCATAGTTTGACTTTTTTCTAATACCAAGATTATTACCCATAAAATGGTTACTACTGTTCAATGAACATTTTGATTCAATTGGACGTGATATTTGATTACATGATGATGATGATGAATTATGAAGATGATTAACAAGAAATGAATGTGAACTATTCAATAATAAAACATCTGGAGAGTATACATTAGCATTAGAAGATGTGATTGGTGTGATTGGATCATCATTTATGCCTAAATTCATTAAATCTTGTGTTAAAAGATCAGGAATAGGATTAGATGATGACAAGTGATTATCATTGGATGATAATTGAGAAGAAGAAGAAGAAGAAGAAGAATTATCATTCATTATAGAGGATGATTTTGATGAGGATAATGATTTTCGATTGGATATTTTTTGTTCATAATTTGCTAAAACTTCACTAGCTCTGTCACATATTTGACCAATTTCAGCTAAAAATTTATAACCGAGAAAATAAGATAGGAATGTAAAAATACAACTACCATTCTTTATTGAAATACATAAATATTGGTACAAGGAGGCACCAAACAGATATGCACCATATAAATCATTCGATTTGATTTGAGGGCTAGAATACTGCACGCACACCCAAATCGAAGCAGGTGGTTTTCTAAGAGGGGGGGTAGACACACCCAGTGCCTTTGACAACAAGTTCTAATCCACAAGACATTAGAGAAACGTCAGGAGATACAATCCCATTGTAGCTGGTGGAGGCACCAAATTTTTACTTTATTTTAACACATAAATATTGGTACAAAGAGGCACCAAATACATATGCGCCACACTGATCTCATTTGATACGCATGAGGGATGTGATACTGCCCGGATGCCCAGACCGAAGCAGGTGGTTTTCCTAGGGAGCCACAACCCGAGCCTTCGATCTGAAGATCTGATCCACATGGCAGTGGAGCATCGTAAGGAGATGCCGTCCCCATGGTAGCCAGTAATCAACGATTGATTCATACACCATTTGTTCCTTCAGGATACTGGAGCCAGCCCATGTGCACCATTGATTTGGGATCCGGTTAATGCCGGTACCGGACATTCGCTTTTCATCCTCTCAATTTCGTAAATAACACCCGTGGTGCGAGAAAGCAGTGAGTAGGACTCCTCTGGCAGAGGCTGTATTACGCGTGGCCATGTGAGAGCATTTCGAGAGGGAAAGCGGACTCTCCCCACTCTCGGACATACCAGGGCATTTGGGTGACCAGCGATTGGTTTATACACCATTTGTTCCTTCAGGTTACTGGAGTTCATGTGCACCGCTGGTTCGGAATCAGGGTTTTTAAACTCACTGAAGTGGATCCTCTATATCCATCAACTCGGTTAAAGCACCGGACATTCGCATTTCATTCCCTTAATGTCGTAAAAAAAACACCTCTGCCACGAGAAGGGATTGAGTAGGGTTTTTCTGACAGTGGTTATATGCATGTGGTCATTTGAGAACATTTAGAGAGAGAGATCTGACTATCTCCACTCTCAACCGTACCAGAGCATTTGAGGGCATCAACTCATCAACTCACTAGATTTAAATGAGTTAACGACCCAATAATTAATATGAATGTAAAACTATTTTCTAGATACAACATAAAATTTAATAGAATATACAACAATCATTATTTATTCCTCTAATTTGAAGAAGAAGAAAAAGAAAAAGAAAAAAAATAAACTTACTCAATGTTTCAATATCTTGTTCTTCATGTGTTAAAGAGAAACTATATAATAATGGACGTGCTCTACGTATATTCTGTGTTAATTCCTGTATAAGAATTAAAAATATCGATAAATGATAAGGATGTATATGCAAGTGTGTGTGTGTGTGTGCGACAAGTTAATGATCAATAACGAAAGAATTACATGCGAATACAATTTACTGTAGTATTAAACACTATCATCTCTAATGATTAGTTAGATAGAAGTAGATGTTAATCAGTCAGTTAGTTAGTCAGTAAGAACGTGGAACTTCGTACGTACGTACATCAGTTCGAGTTGCCATGTTAATAGATTGAATTATAGTTAATAGACTAATAGAATAACATAAATATAAGTAAATAATATTGTCTTGAATTAGAAATAGATTGTTTAACTATACTTAACAGGGTTAAAAGTACCAATTGAATAGTATGAATACATGTGTACTAGTTTTAATGGTAAGAATAATAAAGATTCTAGTTAATACACATACGCCAGTTGTATGGACCTTTACATTAATGTATAGGACTGAGATTAACCAGTCTTTTCTGGCATATATATCTGTCCTGTGAGGATTTCTTCAATGTTCCCATTAATTCACAAGCATTCTACACAGAGATGGATGATGACTAGCTACACTGAACCCACCGGACATTGTAGCCGCACACAGAGATCTTCCTATAGATGTCACTCCACCTACGACAGAAGAAATCAGGATGGCTATCAGACAAATCAAAAGTGGAAAAGTAGAAGAACCTGACAATATACGAGCTGAAGCAATGAAGTCATACATAGAAACAACAACAAATATGCTCCATGTTCTATTTAGGAAGATTTGGGAGGAAGAACAAGTTCCGGCAAACAGAGGCATCATACCACTATCAGTGCCAGGAAAAATTTTCAAGAGTGTTATTGAAAGGAATGAAACATTCAGTAGACGCTCAGCTTCGAGACCATTGAGCCAACTTTCATAGAGATCGATTATGTGTAGATAAAATCATGCCACCACTGGTCATCATGAAATGGAACTCGTCACTGTACATCAACTTCCTTGACTGTGAGGTGTTTGACAGTGTGGACAGAATAACCATAAAAAGACTTCTTCGACAATATAGTATACCTGGGAAGGTTGTTAATATCATAAAGAATTCTTATAACCGAATATACTCAAAGTGGTGCATAAAGAACAGACAGACACATTCCAAGTAAGGAGCTGAGTCAGACAAGGCTGTTTTCTCTCTCTTTTTCTTTTGGTGGTTGACTGGATTATGAAGACTTCCACATCTCAAAGGAAGCATGAAATACAATGGACAGTTGGACACAACTAGACGATTTGGAGTTTGCAAGTGACCTAGATCTTCTAACTCATACACATAAACAAATGCACGTGAAGAAAGCCAGTGTAGCAGCAACCTTTATCTGCAGCAGTAGATCTCAACATGCACAAGTGAAAAAGCAAGATCCTCAAATACAAAACAACGAGAACCAGTTCAATCACACTTGAAGAAGCTTTGGAAAAGGTGGAAAGTTTCACACACCTGGTCATTATCATCGATGAACGAGGAAGATCTGATGCAAATGTAAAGGCAAGGATCGGTAATGCAAGGACAGAAATCCTACAGTTGAAGAACATATAGGATTCGAAACAACTATCAAACAACATCAAAGTCATAAATTTCAATACGAACGTTGAGGTAGTTCTACTGCACGAAGAAGAAACTTGGAGAACTAATACAACCATCATCAAAAAAAGACGAGTATTTCTAATAAATTGTCTATGCGACATACTGAATGTCCGTTGGCTGGATACCATCAGCAACAGCCTATTGTGGGGGAGAATAAACCAGCTTTCAACTGAAAAGGAAATTAGGATAAGACGTTGTAAGTGGATAGGACACACAATAAGGATGTCATCAAACTGCAAGGAAAACACGAGACAAGTCCAAACTTAGAATCCTGAAGGCAAAAGGAAAAATGACACATCTGAGAAGTCTAAATCACTTAATCGATTCTGGGCTGTCCATTGTATGCCGTGTTTTCCCTCACATGTCGAGGTCTTCATAATCCAGTCGACCACCAGAAGAAAGAGGAAGGGGAAGAGTAAACAGCCATGTATTACTCCGGTCCTTACTTGGAATGCATCTGTCAGCTGTCCTCCATGCACTACTTTTCACTGTAGTCCGTCGTATGAGTTCCGGATAATGTTAACAATCTTCTCAGGAACTCCGTAGTGTCGAAGAATTTTCCATAACGTTCTCCTATCTACACTGTCAAATGCCTTCTCATAATCAATGAAGTTGATGTAGAGTGATGAGTTCCACTAAATTGATTGCTCGACAATGATCCATAATGTCGCAATCTGGTCTGTGCACGACCGGTCCTTACGGAATCCAGCTTGTTGATCTCGAAGTTGAGCGTCTACTGCGTCTTTCGTCTTGTTCAGTAACACTCTGTTGAAGACTTTACCTGGTATTGACAGTAGTGTAATGCCTCTGTAGTTTTCACACTTGCTCAGATCTCCTTTCTTTGGAATCTTGATGAGGTGTCCTTCTTTCCAATCCATCGGCACTTGTTCCTCCTCCCAAATTTTCTTGAATAGAAGATGAAGCATGTTTGTGGCTACTTCGATGGTTGACTTCAATGCTTCAGCTGGTATATTAACGGGTCCTGTTGCTTTTCCGCTCTTGATTTGTCTGATGGCCTATATAAGCCTACCCATAATCTAGCTATTATGAAACATCAAGATAAGAGGTAGCTGTGAACATGTGACACAGACCTAAGTCATCTCAGTCAATGTACAGACATCACCAGCTATTTTTATACAGTTGTTTTAATAGGTAAGGAAGAAAACAAGAAAACTCAACCGATAAAACGGTCTAAGAAATCATCATATTAACTACCTTTAGGAAGATATTCTAGCCAATGGTCATGAAATAACCAGTCACTTCTTCAAATGCATTCAACCAATTTATAATTGAGGCACTATGAAAGTGCATAAATAAAAAACATAAAGATTAAAAACTTACACTCATCAATTCTAATTCAGCCTCAGTACTTTCACCTAATAAATATGTCCCAATCATTTCTTCTAATAATATGGTATTATTTCTTAATGCTTCCATTTCACTAGTTCTTTGGCTTACTTTTTCCATACGTACTTGATCCTTAAAAAGTAAATGTGTAATAGACACAAATAAATAAAAAGATACTCTCAATAGATGAGAAAATCAATATAAATAATACCACAAAATAAGAAAACATTATTTGTCTACTGATTTAATTTATGAGTAGTTAATAAGCATCAATGATAAAAAATGTACGTTTCGTTAGAGTAGTGAGGAATTCCTGAAAAAATCAATTACATTTCACAACAAACTGTCTAGTAACATAATTTATTAATTGATCAGTCCGCTCTCCCCCTCAAAATGCTTTCACATGGCCACGCGTAATACAGCCTCTGCCAGAGGAGTCCTACTCACTGCCTTCTCGCACCACGGGTGTTATTTACGAAATTGAGAGGATGAAAAGCGAATGTCCGGTACCGGCATTAACCGGATCCCAAATCAATGGCGCACATGGGCTGGCTCCAGTATCTTGAAGGAATAAATGGTGTATGAATCAATCGTTGATCACTGGCTACCATGGGGACGGCATCTCCTTACGATGCTCCACTGCAATGTGGATCAGATCTTCAGATCGAAGGCTCGGGTTGTGGCTCCCTAAGAAAACCACCTGCTTCGGTTTGGGCACCCGGGCAGTATCACAGCCCTCGCACAAATCAAATGAAATCTGTGTGGCACATATGTATTTGGTGCCTCCTTGTACCAATATTTATGTGTTAAAATAAATTGATAAAGTGTAACATCAGTAGTTATCTTGTAGTACGTGATCATACACTACTTTAGTGATTTACTCAATTAAAAGTAATTATCCTACAAGTAACAAGAAACAAATAGATACCTTGACATTATCATTTTAACGAAGAGAAAATTTATAGATCAACCTTCAAGGTTATTTTTATTTGAACTAATAAGAATAGATGATGTAAATTGTTACAAATTGTTATATAAGAACTATTTTGAATCACAATTAGTATGAATAACTTTGACCCGGTTACAAAAAAATAAACGATGATGATGATGATGATGATGATGATATTATTTATTATTTATTTATTTATTTGAACACATAAATATTGGTACAGGGGGGCACCAAATATATGTGCGACACACAAAACAATGATAATTTGAAGAGGAGAAAAGAGAAAAAAAAAGTAATGAACGTGGGGAATTATAAAAAAAAGAGAGAGTGAGAGAACAATGGTGGGTGCAAAGCACATACCATACCTACGGACACTGATTGCCAACTGATTAAGTGCGGATTGCATGGCTTGGGCATTCTCGCACAGTAAGACAATATCATCCGCATACTCAAGGTCGAGAAGTCTTTCTCCAGGCAACAGATCCACACCACCATTACTTACATCCGTCAGAGCTGTTTCCAGAATGTCATCGATGGCAAAGTTGAAGAGGAATGGTGAGATTGGGCAACCCTGTCTAACCCCACTGCTCGAATGGAATAGTGGAGAAAGGTGGTTGTATGCCCTCACTCTGCCTGAGGTGTTTGTATATAGGGCTTTTAGGATGTTAATAAACTTCTCAGGCACACCCTTCTTCAATAGACAATCCTAGAGAACAGTCCTGTCCAACGAATCGAAGGCAGCCCTGATGTCAAGAAACACTACGATTGTTGGCCTTCGATAAGTATGGTGGTGTTCTAAAATTTTGCGGAGGGTGAATATATGATCAACACATCCTCGACCAGAACGCAGACCAGCCTGCTCCTCGCGAGTCAATCCTTCTCAATAAAAAATTATATTAAGTAGGAACTGAATATACATGTAAGCGCTTTACACATCAGTATACACTCTCCAAATAAGTGTAGATTGATAAAGCTATAAGTGTTTATATATATGCATAACTAGCGCGTTAATTCAAAATTACAGCACTGTCTACCATAGAAGTAGGTTCAGAAAAGAATAAGAGAGGTGAAACTAGGACACGATATCAGTTCATCAAATCATTAATTATACATCTAAACCATGTGTCAGTACATTTAGATATCCTAGTTCAGTTTTAAACAATAGCTGTAATCTGTATTGAAAGTTTTATATGACATGGTTCCATATTAAAGACAATCATGAGAGTCAAGCTTGACAGAGTCAGTTCTAGAATCGTTCAGCTTACGGTAATCGTAAATCTTTAAGTTTAGAAACCGATTGGTTAACAAATCAGTTTCATATGAGTTAGCTACATAAGTGAGTAGAATGATATTGTCTTTTCCCAAACATTGAAATATTCATGTTTTTTTTTATTATACAGTGAAATTGAAATAAGTAAACTATTAATATGAACAAACTCACTTCTTCAACTATACTCTTAATAAGCGCATTCGCTTCACGTAGATCAGCTGGATTACGACTACGAAGTAATTGAGTTAAACGCTAGAAAGAAAAAGAAACTTTTAAAACTTATTTTATTTAGTTATAGCGTAGTAAATTGATTCAATCATTTGATTCTTAACTGTTTGGTTGTATGTTTTGAATCATGCTCAATTAGATTCACATTTTGAGCAGTTAATTAATGTCAATAAACTTCGCAATACATTAATTATACGATATTTGACTCATTGATAATGTGTTAACTTGATAAGTTTAACACATTACTGGACTAACTCCGATTAAATACATTCATAAGTGTTATTATTTATTTGACTAGTTGAAATTATGAGTCAATTGAAGCTAGACCACCATGATTTCAACTAGTGAAATTTTTGAAAATCTCCACAAAAACCCCTTCCAATAATAATCATCTGCTCACTAGTGACTGAATTCAAGAAATACTCCTGGTGTTCTAGTGAGAAGTTGTTACCAGTGGAGTTTTACCAGGTCTGTTTTGAGATATCAATTCACCGTACGGTGTACGGAGGCGCAACTTCGTGGATTCGTTGAAGTTAGACATTAACACCGTTGGATGCCGCCTCAGTGGTCTGGTTGGTTAGGCGCCTGGCGCGAGACTGATAGGTCCTGGGTACGAATCTCGCGGGGGGCGGGATCACGGATGCGAACTGCTGAGGAGTCCCATACTATGACGAAACGGCCGTCCAGTGCTTTCAGGTTTTCCATGGTGGTCTAGCTTCAATTGACTCATGATTTCAACCAGTGAAATTTCTAAAATTTCCACAAAACCCCTTCTATTATTATTATTGTTATTGAATTAAATGGATTTATATTTTAGAATGATAAGTCTTATTCTAACAATGAAAGTGGAGGTGAGAACTAACAACTATGGAAAACAAGGGCTATAGATTTTAGGAAATCATTAAAAGAGCTGACAATAACATAGTTCAATATTGTTATATACAAATATAACTCAATGCAGAAAAAAAAAAACCAAGCCATGAACTATCCTATGGGAGATATCACTACTTTCAGTAAAAGCGATATTATAATAGAAATTCTATTATGACAGTACAAAATGAAAAAGTAGTTCAAAATTTTTAGCAACCATTATGAGAAAAGTGTCAGTCAATCAGTCAGTCATTCAGTCAATCAGCTACAACGTAGGACCAGGCGCATATACATATTGGTCCAGGTTGTCATACCACATTAGCACAACAACATGAACACCAAATTCATCGAAGTAGTTAATTCAATGGTGGTAATATATAGAAGAAAGATTGCATATAAGGAGATAGTACAGGAAGAAAGAACTAGTTTGTAGAAGGAAAGATAGGAAGCAATTTCGATGTCACCGTTCAAGAGGAGACAAAGAGTGCATACACCTACGCCAATGTGATCGATTCTGAGCCATGTCAACCAACCATTGATTACGATAGTCACGCGGACTCCAACCAAGTAGTCTGCATTTACTAACATTGGCTACGATAGTCACCAAGTAGTCTGCATCTACCAACATGGTTAAGACAAGAAGTTAGTGACTACAAGCACTGATGCCACGATTTGGTTTGGTCGCCCCTAACTTACTTCGAAGCGTCATGGTAATCGATGCTCAAGCGTACGTAACACCTGATCCAACCATCTTAGTCAATGAAGATTCACAACCTCATCAACTGATTTACCATCATTCAATGTGAAAACACAAAAACCAGATGGATTGAATAGTGAGTTATTGAAACATCTATTTTTTCTAGTTATTTCCTTGCAGAAAAACCTATTCATTTGGCTAATGATTTTGTTCTTAACATCAAACTATTTAACGCTTTAAGTAAATAATACGGTCTCGTAAGCAGACATCACTCGGTCACATCATATTGTGTTCATCTAACTATTACCATTCTACTTATTGGCTTTAACAATCGAAATTTTTGTCTTCTTAGTTATTAAAAGCTTCCTCTGTGACAACTTTTTTCACAAATAACACTTACCTCTGATTTTTTGTTACGTTCAAAAATATTTTGCCTATTTTCAGTGGCTGAAGAGCCTGAGCGACATACCTACAAACAAAAAGAACGAAACGTAAATATTACATAAGTAATAAAGAGATAATGTACCGTACGTTACCCTTTATAATGGAAATGAAATGTGACTAGACGCTTAAATGCAGCTTGGGAACAGGTAATCTAATAAAACCAAGCAAGTTTCGATCCTGGATACGGATCTGTTAACCGAACCTTTACCCTTAGGTAGATCCTAAAAAACAGATGGATATCGCCGTCCAAATGTAATCATATTGTCCCACCTAGAGACAACATTCAACTCTGTTGGCTGAGGAGTCCTGGTACGGCGGATATAAGCCTGAAAGAATTTTACTCAAATACTATTCGTCGACTGAGTTCTAATAACGAAGAGCAATTTGAAATAGCCACATCATGTGGCATATGCCAGGGTAGCTCAATATCTCCACTTTTATTTAATTCGGTTAAACATATTATGCCATAAATTATCGACTCAAAAATCCTATTAATTGGTTTACGATACCTGACTCCTACCAGTTCTCGTGTCACTCGAATAAATCAGTTCAAAATACGAGTCATGAGGTCAAATGATACAAATATGTACCGGTTCTAACCTTTATAAATTTCACAATTATCATCTCACAGTTACAAGAAAGTCAAAGGAGGGAAAGTAATGACGTTAGAAGTAGTCGTAAAATAAAAATAAACAGAAATCTATTGGGACAAACAAATGAAATTGGAGCACGAAAAATATGAAATAATCGAATGTTCGGCGCTTTAACCCGCCTAGGGGAACTGAGAAACCCTGATTCCAAACCAATAGTGCACATGGGCTCCAGTATCCTGAAGGAACAAATGGCGTATGAACCAATTGTTAGTCACCGGTTACCATGGGAATGCATCTCACGATGATCCACTGCCTTGTGGATCAGATCTTCAGGTCAAAGGCTCGGGGTGTGGCCCCCTGCTTCGGTCTGGGCACCCAGGCAGTATCACAGCCCACACAAAAATTAAAATGAAATGACAATGTTTACTAAAAATACTGTTCTTGTTCCAATTAAAATTTACAACTCATATTCATTTGATAACATTTTTATTTTTCATATCCTACATCACTTATATACTCTCTTTTATTCCCACCTTGTGTACCCTTATGTTTCAACTTATACAGCAGCTCGCCTATGGTGGAAACTCTTTAGACGACTCTCTGCATTTGATCATCGCTGTCTCCGAAGGATTGCTGACAATCCAATTGGTGTCAACAATGCAGATGACATAGTCCTGTTTGGTGAAGACGCTGATAAAATGCAGTCTTTTGGTAGCACTAAGCAACAATGCCAGGATGTTTGGGATGCGCTTCTCGCCCTCTAAATGCAAGTTGCTGCGTCAACATCTGAACTAAGGATAGGGAGTGAAATAATTGACAACAATAGTCGACAACTTCACTTATTTTGGAAGTCTGATCAGCCCTAATGGGTTGTTGTCTGACGAAATCTTAGCACGGATTCGAAAAGCTCGTTCGGCTTTTGCCAACTTACGTCACCTATGGCGCAGGCGAAATATCCGTCTATCAAATAAGGGACGAGTATACTGCGCGGCAGTTCGTTCCGTTCTACTATACGGCTGCGAAACATGGCCTTTAAGAGTAAAAGATACTCGTAAGTTACTAGTATTTGACCACAGGTGCCTTAGAAATATTGCGGGTATCTGCTGGGATCACCGGGTAAGTAACAGTGAGGTTAGACGCAGGATATTAGGGAATGATGGTAAATCAGTTGATGAGGTTATGAATCTTCATCGACTAAGATGGTTAGGCCACGTGCTGCGTATGCCTGAACACCGATTACCACGACGCGCAATACTAACCGGTGTTAGGGATAATTGGAAGAAAGTTAGGGGCGGCCAAACCAAAATGTGGCATCAGTGCTTGAAGTCACTAACTTCTGGTCTGAGCCATATTGGTAGATGCAGATTACTTGGTTGGGGTCCGCGTGACTATCGTAACCAATGGTTGGAAACTCTGGGTGACATGGCTCAGAATCGATCACAATTGCTTAGGTGTATACACTCTCTGTCTTCCCTAAACTAAGAGATTAAAATCGCATTATATCTTTCTTTCTACTAACTAATTCTTTCTTCCTGTATTATATCCTTATACACAATCTTTCTTTTATATACTACTACCTTAGAAGTGACCACCTATGAATCTGGTGTTCATCTTGTTGTGGTATGGCAACTTGGACCGATGCATATATGTGCCTGGTCCTACGTTGCAGCTGACTGACTGACTGGTGTCACCAACCTGAAACATCGACTGCGGTGACTTGGACATGTTCTAAGAATGTCGTCTCAGAGAATTCCTCGTTGTGCATTATTTGCTGATGCTGGGACTGGTTGGGAAAAGCGGAGAGGTGGTCAGTGTATGACATGGTGCCGTGGTATGAAGGAAAGCTGCAGAGGGCTGGCTTCTGTTGGTCCTTCTCGACTCCTTGCTTGGGGTCCGAGAGATGATGCAACACAGTGGCTAAAGACGTTATCAGATATGGCTCAGAATAGAAGCCAGTGGCGATCCTGCTGTAACCTTCTTCTACTTTCTTCATAAAAAGTGATTGTAACTTCCTTTACTGAAAGAATTCCTTCTGACTGTACCTTTCCGTTTCCCCCATCATTATTATTGTTGTTTCACAACCATACACTAATCTGTGGTCATATTGTTCTTTCTCTTCTTTTTTCTTATACGCACCTTAGATTCTTTTTCTCTTCCCATTCTCATTGTTTTGTTTAGTAAAAATATATATCTGTTGCACCCTATTACCAATATTTATGTGTTCAAACAATCGAACGTTAATTTAGTTATTTCATTTACCAAACAACAGTTCATACTGCTTAGCTTTAAGTTGGAATTCATGTCCAATGAAGATACTCAAGTATCCAGACAGAAAAAGGTAGAGCAGACGATTGAATCTTAGAGAATATATATGGAATAACTTGATCATATTGCTTAGAAAGAATCTTCAGTGAATAACGTTCAAAATTATCTCCTAGAACAATACCATGTTGATACATGCACAAAAATTCACTAAACAACACACGCACACACACAACAGCTATTCTACACAAAGATGAAATCCCAACAGAATTGTCACTGCTTTATACTGTTATATTGATAAGTTCCACTAATTTTAACAATAATACACCTTAATGAAGAAGAAGAAGGTCAATACTATAGATTCAATAAGACATAAAAACTATAAAAGTCGTTAAATATCTTAAGAACAAATTGTTTGTCAAAAAATCATTTAGAATATTGTCCATAAATTATTTCCATACCTTTACCGTAGTAGTGGTCATTTTACCAAATTTACATATTTTACAAAATATGTATTAAGGGAGATACGGTATATATAATTTATCTAAAAGCCCCCAAATACCCTGGTACGACCGAGAGTGGGGAGTTCGCTCTCCCTCTAGAAATGCTCTCACATGGCCACATGCATCCAACCACTACCAGAGAAGTCCTACTGACTGACTTCTTGTGGCATTACTGTTGTTTATGAAATTGAAAGGAAGAAAAGCGATTGTCTGACGCTTTAACCGAGTTGGTGGATATGGAGGATCCACCTAGGGGAGTTGGAGAACCCTGATTCCAAACTAGAGCTGTACATGGACTCTAAAGTCGTGAGGGAACAAGTGGCGTATGAACCTAGTGTTGGTCACCGGATACCATGGGGCTGCATCTCTTAACGCCGCTGCACTGCCTTGTGGATTAGACTTTTAAGTCGAAGGCTCCGGGTGTGGCTCCCTAAGAAAACCATCTACTTCCGTTCAGGTGCATAGCTCACAAACAAATCAAATGACTCGTGTGGTGTACATGTATTCGGTGCCCCTTTTTACTCATATTTATGTGCTTAAATAAATAAATAAAAGTTTATCTAAAAATTGTATTTAACATTACTTGAAGGAAATGAATAAAGTTATTACTATGAGTAATAATTCGAAATATATTAACTGATACTTTGATAATAATTTTCAATTATCTAATTCAAAGACGAGTTGAAACTGTCGTTAAGTCAGTTTTATTGAGTGTAGAATCTAGCATATACATTGTTATAATTTCTCTTATTACAACCCAGCTATTCCTATTGCTCAGTTTTTTTGGACATCAATTCACTCGATAAGTCCCCAAATCAGAATACGGTTGAACAGCAACGAAATTATATTACAAATAATAAGGGTAGATGGAAGTAAGAAGCACAATAAGAAAAACGTTAGCATATTTATAGTTTTCACATGAGAAGATTCTAGAGTCTTCTCCAAGTATCCACTAACGCTGATTTGATAAAAAATAGCCAATCAGTGTGAACCAACACAATCCTGCACGGAATGTGCTTTAATCCAATCGATATTCCGCTAACATACATCCATCAACCTAACTCGACACACCACTGAGGTTAAATTATCAAGGGCAATTACCATCGTACTAGAAGTACCAATAGTATCAAAGATGGCAAAAACGATTGGACAGAAAATATTATTCAGAAAACAATGGATTCCCGGAATAAAAGTTATGAAGTAATTTTAAAACTCGGGATCTAAAGAGTAGATACATCTGTACTCTTGACGTAGAATCTCAGTCACATCACACGTCACCAATCATTGGTTACGCGCAAACCAACAAGATAGTCTGAACCTACCTAAGTGAATGTTGTTAGTAATGAAGAGATTCGGCAATGTATGTTTTGAATCAGAGACGATAATTCAATTGGTGTCATCACCTTCAAACATCGACTTCGGTGGCTTGGATATGTACTAAAAGTGCACATTATTTACTGACATTGAGACTGAAAAAAGCGATGTGGTCAGTGTATGACATGCTGTCGTGGTTTGAATGACAGCTGCACAGGACTGGCTTCTGTTGATCCTTAACGACTTCCCAGTTGGGGTCCTAGAGGCAGTGCAACACTGGCTTTATATTTTATTAGAAATTGCTCAAAATAGAAGCCAGTCGTAAATCTGCTCCAATTTGCTTTTACTTTCTTTACATAAGTGAGAGAAACTTTAACTAAACTAAACTAATATTTGCATCTGAACAAATAAATAATAGACACCTATAACTGAATAATAGTACCCTACAAATATCCTAGATTCCCAATGACCATGTTACACGCTATTAAAGCAGACCAGAGAGAACTGCTGCGCAATAAACTCGTTTATTGGTTGACGAACAAATACTTTGATTACACCACACGTGGCGCACGTTGGCAAAAGTCAAGCAAGCTTTCTAATTCCGTGCCACGTTTTATCAAACACTAACCCATCAGGACTGAAGAGACTCCCAAGTTAAGTCGAGCGGTTGATACGCTCAACTACTACACCCCCTACCAATAATTCAGGAGCCGAGGCAGGCCGGTCTTAAAACAATGTTTCACATTTGGATGGAGAGAATGAGGTCCCAAACATCCACACATTGTTGCCTGAAATTGTCAAAAGACCGTATTTTTCCAGTCTTCACTAAACAAAACTACATCATTTGAATATTCTAAGTCAACAAGTGAATTTCCCGTCAAAACACCAATACCTGAAAAACTAGATGATAATGTTAACTCTAAAAGCATGTCTATGACGAATTCAGGTTAAGGTAGGAAAAGAGGGGTTTCCCCATGAACACCGCTTAAAGTAACCACTTCTGACGACAGTTTGCAATAAGCTCTGACTAGACCAGTACTGTTTGAGTCAGTACACGACTGAAAAAACCCCTAGACTGCACCTTTAGCAAGATAGGCGCATAAGGTTTGTTCACTGAGTTACGAGTTGCAAACCATTTTGCCCATTTTGATTTAAGTATTTAGGATTTATCACCAGGCAACGCGTATTGAAACTTAGTTAATCGCATGATGACGGATTTCACTGCTGATGATCAATCTCCAATGCTTTATCTCATATCACAGACAATCCAATAATCTTATATTACGATTTCAGTTTGAAAGGTAGTAAATATTACCTCTGAAACGGAGTCAGTAGAAACTATCTGACTTGCAGTTATAATACCTTCTCGAACAAGCATATTGTATGCCTCAGCAAACTTCGGTTCATTTGGTGAGAAATCACGTTGCCAATTATGAAGCAACTGAGCACACTTGTTTTTTACACATGAAGATGTCTGGTCACCAAGATACTAAAAAGCAAAAAACCAGAAGTTGTAGAAATGTGAAATGTCGTGTACTGACTGAAATTTTTGTTATAAACAAAGGGAATTAAAAATGCAAAAGTTCACAGTAGTTAAAGCCATGTAATAAAGTATAAATAACACATGTCAAACCAAGCAATAGTTTACATTGAAACTTAACGATAAACGAAAGTAGAGGTCATTTACATTATCAAATATTATAACAGCACACGGAAGGGCATTGAATAGAAACAATCAAAAAATATACGGAGAACGTCAGATGATATGTCAAATAAAACAGTTGGTCTTCAAGCATAGATGAATCTACAACCTATAGAATGAGACAAAGTGAACTGCTATCCAGTACGGCTAATCGTAAGAAGACAATTGAACATGACATGTACTGTAATTCAGCAGAATATAAAGGTCTCTCATATCGATCGAAACGTTTTATTCGCGTTTGATTCAACAGGCTTTAAAAAACCTTCACACGAGATGGGCAGACAACCTACAAAACTATTGAAGTAATAATAAAGGTGGATTCAGACAAATAGATTTCAGTTATTCACTAGTTCTAGTGTTAAGTAGGCTTATTATTGCCGTTTGTAAAGGAACTGGTCGAACATATCATACCACTTCATAAACAATTGGAAATTAAGACTGAAATTTTACAACTGAATACTAAAGGACAAGAGCTTGAAAGAAGCTTCGGGATATTCAGGCCGACACATGGGGAAAATAGCCCGACCTACGGTTGCTGGTCCCTCACATGGCAAACTTTACAAAAATTTCTTAATTTTTAACTTTACCTTGGGCGATAGAACTTTGATTAGTTCGTTGAGAAACTTGAACTTCCCAAGTTCGGATATAAATGTTGGACCACAACGCTTGGATAAAAACTCTAACAGCTAAAACTTATAAAAGAGCAATAACTATTACCATTAAAGAGCTAAGAGCTTCTTTTTCATGTGGAGACTTAATTTTATGGGCGAGAAGTCGAAGAGTAAAGACTGGACCATTAGGTTGAGTATCAATCAGCTTTGCAATTTCATTCACAGTGTCAGAGTCATACTGGTCTGATATCGGGTTTGTAGCTTTACCTTTATTAAAGTTTAGCGTAAAGAGAAAGACTCGATACTAACTTAATAATTTCTCCAGCTCATTCATTACCACTAGTCTTTTCGCAAGAGCCGCACTAACTCAAATTTCCCGCTGACTTTTCAGAATCCAAACCACGACCTTAAAACTTTCAGTCTAGAAACAGTAAACTGTTTGTACTTCCGACGCTGCATTCTGATAATCTGATGATGCTCATCACTAAAAAAAAGTATTGACAATGTCTGAAACCTCCATAGTTATGAAAAGATAAAAGCACTGGAAAGTAGTAGAAGACACGAAGCTACTCTTTAAAAGGTCAATGGAGTATTTATTGCATTGAAGAGTATTTGTTCGAATCTGGCTTAAATTATTTCATCTACATTTTGAAATCTTCTTCAAACCCGTTTTGTGTTACCCTTTTTAGTTTATTATCAAACTAGTACGGCTCAAACTAGAGATAAATCCACCAAAGACACTAGGTAAGATAATATTTAACCCTAGCGTAGTTGAAAAAAGGTTGATCTCGTTGAAACTTATCGTGAGCAAGGTACTCGTATCAATCGACTTTAATTCAAAAATGAACAGAGAAATCTCCTAGTAATTGACAGGAAGGAAATGACAAGATCGCAATCCGTGAGCACGACTTTCAAAGGAGTCGAATCCGTTTCTAATTTATTTATCTGCAATCTGAAGGAGTCTAGAGAAAGTGGTCCCACTCAAAGATATGTACACGATCTCGATTCAATGTTGGCTGTATCATCCGAAATTCACTGCTAGAAGAGCTTTCAGGGGTACATAACACTGAAGTAGTACGATTCAGTAAGTGGGTTGGGTGCGAGACACGACTGAGAAGGATCCTGAAGTTCTTACTAGCGAATTACAAAGAAAAAAAGGTTATATTAGATAACGCAAAAGATCTCTTATTTTGAACATTCGTATCTTACCAGATCGGGGACCGAATCAAATGGAAAAATGCCTTTAGTGACTTAAAAACTCTGGAGCGAAAGGGCAAAACAAACATTAACACAGAGAGTTTTTGAGGTAAAAAATCTTTGCATTCGCTGTTTCAGAGAATAATGTGGGAAAAATGAGCCATTCCCACGACACTTTCAATGGGTGCCACACAAACTCTGGTAGTATTAGAAATGAAACATCCGTGTAAATTTTGATTGTGGATGAATTGATTGCTATATGAGTGTTGTCACAAAAAATTGGACTTATGCAAATATAAACTGCTTTCCATTCATTTCGAGTTACATCTGTAATAAAAGAGATAGAGTTACATGTGTTGGAGTCCATTTACGCATACAGTCGAACACGTGAGAAGCGCATGATAGTAGTACATATGTGATAGCCTGTTGTACAAACAAATATAGACACGGGATAGCGATTATAGGAGGAATATACTGTAGTCCACCATAGTTAGAGCCGTACCATTTATGAAGGATATATGATGGACGTACATGCCCAAAAAGACTGTTTTCTTACGTTAAATGCAGGACAAATCGTAGCGATCGTATTCCCCTATTACCAGTGGGCGAATATCAAAATATAGCAGCTGAGTCAAATCTGGTCATCAGAGTTTACGGGTGTTGTAAATAATACTTGTCTAACCATATCACTGAGATACCGGCTATAGGATCTGTACATGTAAAGGAAGAAGCTATTCTTCAATTGATCATTAACCTGTAGTGACCTACTTTTGTCAACAGACCGCGATTGGTTCGATGAAAACAATTATTATTATAACCAATTGTACCAGTGACTGTTTTACTGTGCTCGTTTGTTTAACTGTGCTAATAACAGCCATTTTGGGCTTCCATTGTATTCCATTGCTTTTACGCGGTTTTTGGACTACGCACGTATCTTATCTTGCCGTTCGCAACTGTACTCCTTTGGCACGATCTCGGTATTCTTTCGATACCACGAGATCGCCAACAAATATATACGACTACTACAATCATCTGCCTTCTGATATTTTGGCCTACCGGGATTTTATTGGTCTATTGGCAAGTAGTCTGGTAGCGGTGTTCATAGTTCAGCTCAACTCGACACCACGCTACATTTGGTGAGCCAAATATTGGAACACGCCTCAACTTCGGTCAAATCTTCTGCAACTGGTGAACCTACATCTACGACCACTTGGCAATCGCAACCAAACCTTCCAAAGAAGTCAATTTTGGTGAGCCCATCGCTTATCTATCCACGTCTGTCATATATTTTCATATTAATTTTTAACATAATATATATTTGACATGACGGATAACGATAAGAATAGTATTAATATAATAGACTCCGATGTACGCGCACCGAATCCTCGGCACTTTTTATTCGCGTGACGATAAATTCCACGCCTTATTCGAGAAATTCCCCAGATTAACTAAACCACTCGAGGAGATTTCATCGGTGACCAATCGTGTGGTACACCACATAGTCACCCGCGGACCACCAGTCACGGCAAGACCACGCCGACTGGCACCGGACAAATTAGCTTTCGCTAAACGTGAGTTTGACAATTTACTATCTGCTGGTATTATTCGTCCTTCTCACAGTCCTTGGGCCTCTCCTTTACACATGGTGCGCAAAAAGGATGGGGTTAGTTGGAGACCTTGCGGCGACTACCGAGCATTAAACGTAGTTACGCGCTTTGATAGCTACCTCATCCCCCACATACACGACATCACGGCATCGCTCAAGGGCACGACTATCTTTTCTAAAATCGATCTGGTAGAAGCATATCACCAGATCCCAGTCGCTCTTGAAGACATCGAGAAAACTGCTATCACGACTCCTTTCGGTCTGTTTGAGTTCCTACGAATGCCATTTGGATTACGGAATGCTGCTCAAACTTTTCAAAGGTTTATCGATAGCATAGTACGAGACTTGGATTTTGTTCACGTCTATATTGATGACCTGCTGATCGCATCATCAAACGTAGATGAACATTATCAACACCTTACGCTATTATTCCAACGTCTTTCGGATAATGGAATAGTAGTCAACCCAGAGAAATGTGAGTTGGGTAAATCAGAAATAATATTTCTGGGTCACATCATCAGACAAGAGGGTATTCTGCCTTGCGAGGACAAAATTCGAGCAATCAAGGAGTACAACGTGCCGTCCTCAATCAAGGAACTGAAGGCTTTTCTCGGTTTGGTTAACTTCTACCGACGTTTCATCCCTCACGCGGCAGAACGGTTACGACAATTAACCGATTTACTACGCGGTAATCCACGCAAATTAGAACTGAACGATACCGCACGTACTGCATTCTCAGAGATCAAAACGGCTCTCGCTGAAGTTACACTTCTCGCTCATCCTGACCCATCAGCCACGCTTAGTATAGCGGTTGATGCATCGGATTTTGCCATAGGAGCCGTTATGCAACAGAATATCTCCGGTAGTTGGCAACCGCTCGAATTTTTCTCACGACGCCTTACTCCCACGGAGACGAGATATAGCGCTTTTGGTCGCGAGCTGCTTGCAGCCTACTGCGCCATCAAACATTTCCGGCACGCAGTAGAAGGACGTCAATTCATCTTATTCACCGACCATAAGCCCTTAACGTATGCCCTGCATACCAAGTCTGACCGCTACTCACCACGAGAGTGCAGACATTTGGACTATATCTCACAGTTCACGACAGACCTTCGTCACATTAAAGGCGAGTCGAACTATGTTGCCGATGCTCTTTCACGTATCCAGACGAATGCAGTTACTTTACCGGTGCTCGATCTTCCTGCTATGGCCGCCGCGCAAGCAAACGATCCCGTCTCTACAGAAGCACCACAATCTTCGTCCCTTCAGTGTCAGGAAGTACCCCTAGCTACTAGCTCAGGTACTATCCTATGTGATATTTCTACCGGTCTACCTCGACCCATCGTACCCTCTACCTATTGCCGTCTCGTCTTCGATGCCCTTCATGGATTGTCTCATCCAGGTATCGCAGCCACATTACGTCTCATCGCTGCACGATACGTCTGGCCGTCCATGAATAAAGATGTTCGTATGTGGGTAAAGCAATGCTTACAGTGTCAACGATCAAAAGTGCACAGGCACGTAGCTGCCCCCATTGGCACGTTCGCTACGCCTGATGCTCGCTTTGATCACGTTCATATAGACATTGTAGGACCATTGCCACCATCGCATGGGTATGATCACATACTCACGTGCATTGACCGTTTTACAAGATGGCCCGAAGCTATTCCCATCACGTCTATCACGGCGGAGACAGTTGCTCACCGCTTCGTAGAACGATGGATAGCATTGTACGGTTGTCCCTCCACTGTCACGACTGACCGAGGACAACAATTTGAGTCCGCATTATTCTCCTCACTGACCCGGCTGCTTGGTACGGAACGCATACGCACCACCGCCTACCATCCAGCATCGAATGGTTTAGTCGAAAGGTTTCACCGCCAACTTAAAAGTGCTCTCCGAGCACACGAAAACGACAATTGGTACGAAACCTTACCGCTCGTTCTCTTAGGCATCAGAACGAGTTTGAAGGCAGATATCCAATGTTTCGCCGCTGAACTTGTATACGGTACGACATTGCGTCTGCCTGGGGAATTCTTCACACCACGGAGCAGTAACGATTTCGGTAAATCAGACTACGTCCATCGACTGTCTGCATTTATGCGAACGCTGTCTCCGGTGTCAACTCGAATACAACATCGACAGGTCGCTCTCCCTCGAGAGTTATCTACCTGTTCACATGTTTTCATACGAGTAGATTCGGTACGCAAACCATTACAACAGCCTTACGAAGGCCCTTTTCACGTGATCTCTCGTCACGAAAAGACCTTCAAGGTTGATCGACACGGCCGTGTCGAGATCGTCAGCATTGATCGTCTCAAACCAGCACACGTCGATGACAGTGCCCCACCCGATAACTTGAGACTCAATGCTAGACCTATCAAACCTTCTAGCGGGATCTCTACGTCTAACTCGGATCCCACGCTAGATACATCAGAGACCTCGTTCTCACGTCCCGGTCAACAGCACGCGTCATCTGCACCATCTACGGACGAGACTTCCGTCTCACGTCCAGATCGGCAGACCACGCCGCCCTTGACCTCGGATGAGATCGCAGGCTCACGAAGTACGAACG